CTTTATGAGAAAATTTGTTTTAATAGTGTTTTTTTAAAGAATTTGTGGTTAAAAAAGTTAAAAAATTTTAAATTTATATACAAAATTATTTTATTGAAAGAACGTATAATTTAAAATAAATTTGAAAAAAAAAAACTAAAATTAAACTTTAAAAAAATGGGTAGTGTACAATTTGCCCCTGTTTGGCCGATATTTTTTCAAATTAAAATGGATGTAATAGTATTTTTTTGAAGAATGGTGATTGAAAAAAAAGGAAAAATTTTCGATTTATATATAATATTATTTTATGAAAGATTGTATGAATGAAATAAGAGAAAGAAATGAAATTTTATTTGATAGAGACCAAACGAGAGCTTTATATACAGTGTTATGTATGTATATGTAAAATTTCAATGCAGGTGCCGTCTTTTACCTCGTGAGACGTGCCAATGGCGAGCAAAACCGCGTTGACAGCCAAGCACATTAATGTCGTCTTAATCTCATAATTAATTTATTAATTTCTTTTAGCACACTGCCCTACTCATTCTTTAACTAATATTGCTTTATCCGAGGTTAGTCTTAGGCTGGAATGTTTAAAGCGGGCATTAATTTACAGTTTCCACCATACCTTGGGTTTATCTTAAAATTCGTCGGTGGCTCATTAGAAATTTACATGTTCTTTGAATGCAACAAATTGATCCTCAATTTTTAATAGTGTAATCCATTTCCAACATTTCAGTGATGTAGCAAAACCGTCATTTCCTTCATTTATTTCTATATTAAGTCCCTGTTTGTTTCTCATTATTTGTCCATTAAAATGAAGAATATGATCGTTATTCATCAAATCAAGCCATCATGTTTGACTTTCTATCTCTTGTGTGGGGCCGTAACGATTATATATTTTCATTCTCATTTTTACATTAATGTGTACCAAACTGGGCCTACATGATGAATTTACCATTCTCCGTGAATAATAAAAATTAAAAGATAGCAATAAAATAAGAACAAATTGTAAATGGAGTCCCATAACTTTTCAAAAATATATATAAATCGCATTTAAAATAATTAAATATGTATTAACACATAAAAATAGGAATTTAAGAAAGTTGTGTCTTCTCTAACTAAGCTCACCCATCCAACCTATCAAAGGTTGTAAACTTGTTTACAGGTGATCGATAATACCTAAAAAGAAATGAACAAGTGAAAAAGTGTTAGGAAAGGCTCGAAAAATTAGTGAAATACTTAAGCCCTTGTTTGTTATCCATTTTTCAGAACTTTTTTTTTCAATACTTATTTTCAAACATAATTCACATAATAAAATATTTTGCAAGTGAATTCAAAAACTTTTTCCCACATTTCAACCACAAAAAAAAAAAAATATTATTTCAAAACTCATTTTCCTTATATTATTAAAAAAAAAATTAATTTCAAAACTCATTTTTACCAAAAAGAAAAAAAAAAAACTCTCCTTATAATGGCTACTAAAAATTTGATCGAATAGAAAATGCGACGGACATGTGGCAAGAATTATTTTGAAAATATAAGATCTTTTGGTCTATTATATCAAGCATGTAAATTACATGTATGCAATTACTCAAATATTAACATAAAATTAAGGTCAGGAGAAAATCCGAAACATAGTTGAAAGGTCATGAGGTGACCTAACAAGAAGAAATTGATCATTTTTCTTGGATGTTTCAAGAGGAAAATAAATTTCATTTAGCAATTATTATTATTATTATAATTAAATTTTGCATACTTATAGCTTCTTTGATAAGATGGGTATTGGGCAACACGATATTTTGAAAGTGTTTATAAACATTAATTTTTATAAACATGTAGAAATAAATGGTGAAAAAGTATATAATAATTGTGGATCATATGAACTATAGGAATAAAAGTGATTTAGCCAACAGTGTTGATGTCACACATAGGCTTAGACGATATCAAATAACAAAGAAAGTCATACTTATTGATCGAGAAATAGAGCACAAATTTTTTACAGTCGTGATTGGTGTATAGAAATCCCTACCGACACCTCACATTTGAGGGGTGAGTGGGTAATTTTCTGACATTATTTATTCATGTAGGACCCAAGTCATTGTGAGACATTTGTATTTCTTCTGTAAAAATTTTTTCGAGACACCAAGCATTAATCAAATTTTTATCTTCAAGTTTACCTTATTTTGATTGTTCACTGGGCAATCACGGAGTCATTGAATGTTGCGTCAGATCTTATAGTTTGTTTGAGTCCTACTTTTTTAAAAAGTAGATTCTGTAATAGTGATTTTTGGAGAACATGTATTTAAAAGGTATGAAACATTTGACTTTACATATAAAAATTATTTTATTGGGAAAATACGTATTTAAAAATGAGTTCGAGGAAAAAAAAATGATTTTTTAAAGAATAAGGATCAAACGCGAGCTTAATATGCCAAACATGCTTGATGCATTCCACGTTTTCCTTTTTAAGCTCCTGTTTGACAAACATTAAAACAAAATATTTTTTCAACCACACATTCTCGTAATAAAATATTTTGCACACAAATCCAAACTTTTTCTTATATTTTAACCATACATTCTTCGGAAAATTATTATTCCAAAGTGCATATTTTAAGAATAGACATGACAATTTCAATTCTCGAAGGGCTTAATTTGTAACTCCCAAAAAAATTGTGAAATTTAATGAAATTGGAAAGCATTCATCGATTTGTCTCCATTAGAATTCAATTCTACATGAAACCCAGCTAAGATTGAGCTATACTCAACTAACTCTCTCTCTCCCTCTCTCTAATATATATACAGTCACATAAAGAAGTAAAAATAATATAATGGCAGATGTGCTAAGTGAAGAGCAAATCGTCGAGTTCAAAGAAGCCTTCAGTCTATTTGACAAAGATGGAGATGGTTTCTCCTTTTATTCTCTCCTCCTTTTACATTTATTTTTATGTATATACACTACTTTTTACATGAATTTTTAACTTTACATGCAGACTAGATTCATTTTCTTTGACAAGCAATTTTATTCATAAAAAGCTTAAACCGTTAAAGAAGGAAACTGCTGATTAAATTACATTTGCAGGTTGCATTACTATTGAGGAATTGGCTACAGTAATAAGGTCATTTGATCTGAATCCAACTGAGAAAGAACTTGAGGAAATTATAAATGAAGTAGATTCAGATGGAAATGGGACCATAGAATTTGCAGAATTCTTGAATCTCATGGCTAATCAGATCAAGGTAATCATTAATAATCTCATGCTTCATTAATATCAAAATTAATACATTCTCCATCCCATAAAGATAATTATGTTTTCCTTTTTCATCTATCCCAAATTATAGTCTTGCTTCTTATTTGAGAGAGCAGTTAATATGTTAATTTCCTAATATGCCTCTATTTAATGCCATTTGTTGTCACAAACATAATTCACTTACCTGAATAGAGTAAAATGATAATAAAATTTTATTATTTCAACTATATTAATTAAATTTTTTTAATCGGTGTGAAAAAAAGAAATATGACTATCTTTGTAGAATGGAAGGAGTATAAAACTACTCGCTCTCTATGTATGTATAGATAAAATATGTACATATCTGCATCAAATCGAAAAGGGCCTTTTTTTATCAGGAAGATGATGCAGAGGAGGAGCTGAAGGAAGCTTTCAAAGTGTTTGACAAGGATCAAAATGGTTACATATCAGCTAATGAGGTGAGCTACAGTTTATAATTTACATAAATTATGAGTCATAATAAATTAGAGTTGACTGCACAAATACTGTCTTCGTCCCTTAATTTTTTAGGTTTATTAGAGCTTACAAAAACTAAAATACTAATATTTTTTGACAACCACTTTGTTAGGTTCACTAAAGATTACTATACTGATATTTTTTGATGTATAACTAATTGCTCATTTAATAATTCTTATAAACACTTTCATTTTGAAAACAATAACATATCCCATTTGAAAGTCTACCATTGACCACTATACGAGTAATGCCGTTTGTACTCGGACGTTTATATGCCCGGTTACCCGGTCCCACCGCCTCCCTCACATGGGGCAAGGACCTGACCCCCATGTGAGGGGGGCAATGGGGCCCCGTAACCGGTCTTTTAAATGCCCGGGTACGAATAGTGTGATCCACCACTATACAGACTTCCATTACTGCTGACATGGTACCCAATGGTGTACCTATGATACTCGAATTGTACAATTCGAACATATTTTTGAAGTTTTCAACAAAAACTACTCTGAATCAATAATTCTTTGTTTGTTGGTAGAGAAAGTTATATTTGCGGGTTGAGTTTAGGTTAGGGTTAGTCTTTTATTTGACTTATTTTATTTTTAAATTATAGCAACAACTGGTCATTTTGCTGGACTAAGCTTCAAAACAAGAAAATAACACTTGAAAGCGAAAATGCTCACACACCTTTTTCGATTAGGTGCGTCTTATGCTGTCAACGTAAAGTTGCTGCTACATAGGACATTTCCTCTATGCCCTCCACCTAAATGGTGAAGATAACATGTTTCGTATATTGTATCAAATATAAATATCAAATTTTATGAACAACAAAGATATTTTTATTTGGGTGCAATTAGCTTTACCTTGCATGAATTTTTTAGCAATTTCTTAATTAACTCCTCTCTTGAATTTATTTTTTGAACAATCGATTAGCTCAAGGGATTATGCAAATCCTTAAATTAAAGCTCTTATGATCCCATGCAGCTGCGGCATGTGATGATCAATCTAGGTGAAAAACTAACAGATGAAGAAGTGGATCAGATGATCAGAGAAGCTGATCAAGACGGCGATGGACAAGTCAATTATGATGAATTTGTTCAAATGATGACAAACATTGGATAGGATTTCTTTAATGATGCTTATATTGTCTATTATTTATTATCTCTTGTTTAACGTTTGATTAATTGTTTAATTAATTATTGTTAATCTACCTTTGTAATAGCTGAAATGTTGGGTTTTTGAATCTATTTTCCATTAAATTTCTAAGTCAATGGATTTTCTCTTGCTAATTGTATTCTCGTTTCATTATTGAGTAGTCCAACTAACTCCAAACGACGTACGGCCTAGATAGCTCGTCTCGACTTCACATCTCCAACCAACCTTCACTTTTTACTTTCGTAACGTGTTGATTAATAATTAGATGATTTTCGTTCAGAATCAACGTTCAAAATGTTATTTTTATTAAAATGCTTAGTACACAACGAAGCCTATTACCGTTCCAATCAATTGATAGATATATAAATAAAATCATAATATTTAATAAGACATTTTTCCATTCTTTAGTTAGGTCATCAACACATCTTGACATACTTAGTTTACAATGGAATATATGAAACAATTTGTTCAAGCCTTAAAGAAATTTCCCAGCCAAAAAAGTGATGTACACAAAAAAGAAAAAGAAAAAAACAATCTGAATTGGAATCGAAACAGAAACAAACCAAAAAAATAAAAAAACATCAACAGGTGCTCATACATATATAAATGATTCGACTTTCCCGGGAAAATCATGAAAAGGGTCATGCATGAAGGTTTGATTAATTGATTGCCGCTGTGCAACAAATGCAGGTAGTGAAAATGGAAGATTTAGGCTTGCGCTTCGCATTTCCCTTTGGAGAGTTTGACTCCAGTGCCTGCAAATCCTTATCTCCCTTCTTATCTATACCATTGTTTTCTTGTTTTTCTTCTGTATACATTGCAGTAGTTTTTTCTTCTTTCTTGATCGCGTTCGAAAATATACCTCCAGAATTTTCTGAATTGCTTCTTTCCATTAATCTAATGGTTTTCTCTTCCACTCCCACCTCCTCATCATACTGTACTGAGGTTCTAACCAGAGTTGCACAGCTCGAAAAGCTTCGAATTGCAGTTTTGTCCTGATATAGTAATGGAGTTTGATCAGATTCTTCAGACCTAACATCGAATGAAACACCAAAGTCAAAACTTGGGGATTTTCTGAGCTCCAATAAATGATTTCCTACACCTCCTTGTGAAGGAATATAATTAGTCTCATCACTTTGTGTAAGTTCAGTTTCTAGATTCATAGTATTATCCAGTGAATCCCCTATTGGTATTTCATTGATTGCATAGCTAACATTTGCAATAGAGCATTCACGAACTAGTTGTTCACAGCCATTATATTCTTGTACGTCTTCTACGCCTACCCTGTCATCAGTTTTGTTGCCCAGAACTGCCTTCTCGAGTATACCTTCATTTGTAGCCTTACAGGTGGCTATGCGTTCTCTGGTTGGTTGATTGTGTGTCTCCTCACCATGATCAACTTTTTCTGGTCCAGAACTGGAACTAATCCCGACTGAACTTACCTCCTCATCTTCTTTACTCCCGGATTCAATCCTCATCTCAGGTTGATCTGCATTGAAATTCACCAACTGATTGATTTCTTTATCCGAAGGCTGAGTTTGTTCTCCATAGCTCGTATTCTCTCCGTTGCCTAATTCACTCACCATTGGTGTCAGCTCTTCAGGAGTGGCCAGATACTCATTTGGTGGTTCAGAAATTGCTGCAGAATTTTGGTTTTGAGTACTTGTGTCCAATATAGCATCCTCAAGAGAAGCCATTTCATTCACCTCGAAGTCATTTTTCTCGACGTTAAGATTTGGTACTATGTTGGTGTCAATCAAATGACATGTCTCATCAAGATGGCATGACGTACTCACTTCCCGAGTTTCCTTACTCTCTTTCGATAATAAATCCCCGTTTTCTTCTTGTGATTCACCAGGAATATTTACATGCACCCGAGGATCAGAATTTAAATCAGAATTCGAGTCCAAACTTGAGTCACTTCCCTCTACCTCACCTGTTGGAGTTTGAAAGAATCAATTAGTTTATGGCTAGGAACTGTATCAGCATAACTTGTATCAAACAGGTGCTAAATAAAACTTTACGCAGTTTTCTTGTAATTAGATTAACCTTTTGAATGGGATAATTCGTCAAGAAATTTCAATGAAGCATCTCTCTGTGCATCATTATCGTCACTAGCTGTGCCATTTTCTTCCTCTGAGACCTCTTGATATCCTGGAGGAGTGTTATGTTCTTCATCATTGTTCTCAATACCTGAAAGCCAAAAGTATTAAAGTGGATTGAATTAACTAAAGATTATGAATCGAGTTGATATAGCATGTATTTTAGAAATGAAATCATTTATAGATTAGCCAAGTCTACTTTCAAGCAATGGAGATTAGAGTTCATATTTATGCACCACATCAAGAATAGAGCACTGTTGAGCCAAGAAATCCTACAATCCCTTTGTGCTACTGAATCGCTTTAACTGAAATTTGATAGAAGGAATACTTGTATTTTGGAACCAATTAAGAATTTTCACCCACAACTTTGGTTGGTGCAAGAACTGTTTTGAGTGATAAATCGTCAGAATTTTTGTCGTTTATGTTAGGTTTAACTATAATTGGCTATTCTCTATACAAAATTAAAGATATAAAAGAGTTACAAATGTTAAAGAGTTTTTTAAGTTAATTATGAGTCTGTGTGTTAAATTATGGAACAAGGAGAGAGAGTAGCAGGAATAATGCCGGCTGGCTCAACTTTAGCGCTTAAGCATCATCTTGGAAAAATCAACAGAACCATCGCCACCCACTTGGCGTTAGTTCACCGCTTGAGCGGCGGAGCCACCACTCCATTGGCACAAGCCTAGCCCTCGAGCGGCGCTATTTTTTGTGGAAATTCTATTTTGTGATTTAAACAAACTTTTTTTTTTTTTTTTTTTAGGCCTAAACAACCGCAAATACTTTCCACTATATATACTTGATAACTATATTTTATGTATTCATTCAGGGCCTTAGATAGTAATATTTAGTTGCATCTCTAGTGAAATATAGTTTAAATTGTTGTATTTTTGTATTAAATAGGTAAAACTCAATGGTTTAGTAAGAAATTAGAAGAAACAAAAAGAAAACCCAGAAAAGAGTGAAATCAAAAAGATGGGGGGCCAAGTTGCAAAAAATTCATAAATGAGACGGACGATTAAATGAAGATCGAAGATACCAAGGCTTTAATTGAATACAATTGGAAGATAAATGAACAAGATTATAAGATAAAAGAGTTGGAATGAACCACAATCAAAATTTGAGGACTAAAGTGCAAATATTGAAAAGTTGGGTCAAACCTTACAATAAAGAAGAGTATTAGGGGTCAATCAAATGAGAAAAGAACTTAAAGGGATGAAATATAGTCGAAGTATTATCACTAATCAATTTTCAAGCGAAAAAGTTATGCTTTTTGAAAAGTTGTCTCAAACCTTATAATAAAGATTCAAGAGTGTTAGGAGTCAATCAGATGAGAAAAGAACTTAAAGGAATGAAATATAGTCGAAGTATTATCACTAATCAATTTTCAAGCGAAAAAGTTATGCTTTTTGAAAAGTTGTCTCAAACCTTATAATAAAGATTCAAGAGTGTTAGGAGTCAATCAGATGAGAAAAGAACTTAAAGGAATGAAATATAGTCGAAGTATTATCACTAATCAATTTTCAAGCGAAAAAGTTATGCTTTAGATTTTCAGTTTTTGTTTGAGACTCATTTTTGGCATAGCAAACGTTCGAATTGAAAAAAATGATATCTCTAGATGAATTGTAGCTTATTGAATTATCTTTTTAATGTACTTTGAATCACTTCAACCGAATATCAGGAGAGAAAAATACGATCAAAATACTAAAAATTGTTCGACTGAAAAAAACTATAATTATGCGGTCGCATAATTCAAAAATCCATGCGGTCGCATCCACACATGCAGGGAGAAATTTGAAGTTCAATAAGTGAACTATGCGGTCGCATCCCAATGTACTATGCTACGTATAGTGCAAGATTTTAGATGAATCACAAGTTTCCTTATACTGTTAAAACTCAACTTAGTATGGTTTTGGGCGATATTTTTTATCTAGATTCGAGCCATATTAATACCAGAACATTCCATACATATTAGAGAGCTCCTTTTATGCAACAAATTACCCAAGAACTTAAGAGAATTATATTGAAGAAGAGGCAAATTCATCTTTGTGGTAGATTTCAATCGAGGAATTGGAAGGAGACTACTGAGCATCATTCATATCGGGAGATTTGCACAAGGGTTGGAGGGAAAATTCAAGAGATATTAAGGATTCATCGAAGAAATTTAAGAACTCAAGAATTCTTGCCAATTATTTAATTTTCGGGTGATATTTATTAAACTTATAATAATTTCTTGTAATTTCAATATGTTCAGTTAGATTTTTATATTGCTAAGATGAGATGAACCATTGTTATGAATTTTTTTTTTGTTTGAATAATTGAATTGTCGTTAAGTTGATTGGATGATTGGATGTTTATCATGATTTTATTTACTTTTTCAATTAATTGGCCATTAGTTGAATTATTTGTGGGTTTTATTATTATCGAGAGAGATATAGAATCGATAGCACATAGTGATAAACATTGTGAGATTCAATAGAGGATAGAGATATACTTGTATGCTTCACATGATTTTTATAGATGTTCTAGCTCGTATAATACTTTCTTGCACGTTTGTATTTTTCATAGAGATATAGGAAGGTCGCGTGTAGGATTTCTATATTGTTATTTGATTAAGTGTATTAATATCTATAATTTGATCAAACACATAGTTCTCGTGGGTTTGACTCTTCATTTACCATTATATTACTTGCTACGATCTTGTGCACTTATGGGTTTTCAAAGGGTCAATACCCAATTCATATTCCGTCCAGAGGCATGGTTGATAATTATATTCTTCCTAGAATATATCTTTTGAAGATCCTATATCAATTCTATACCTTGAAATTTTTCAATCACACCTTAAAAAACATCAATTCAAACTCTCAAACCACCTATTTTTGTAAAATATGTTCGAGTTCTGAAGATCGAGGAAGGAAATTGGAGTTCCGATAGGATAAGTACGAGGAGTTTTTGGTAATCCACAGGAGATAAACGATTGTAGAAATTCAGAACTAGTGCAGGAGCACGCAGTTCAGAAGAGCCTTGATATTTATAGGAAGTAGGTTAGAGTACTAGAAGTTAGTTCAGTTTGGACTGTACTGTAAGCCAATTTGTTTATAGTGTATTTTATTGGCTTGGGCTCGAAGTTTTTTTTGATGTTTTTCAAAGGGTTTTTCTTCGTGATCAATTGTTAGTGTTATTTACTTTATGCAAATTATAAATTGTAAAATTATAAATTGTAGCAATTAATCATAGGATAGACTTGCATGTTAATTCATCTAGATTAATTATTATTTGTGACTTGTTGCTTATAATAAATGGAAAATGTAAATTCTGCATTAATCACTTCTTCATCCTCCTTTAGTTGTTAGTTGGATCGAACTTCGATATTTCAATTGGTATCAGAGCTTAGATTTGATACCAAACCCACTTTATCTAGAAAAGTTAGTCACTAAATATTCCTCCATGTTTTGATAGAAGTAATTATGCTTACTGGAAAGTGAGAATGAGATCCCTTCTAAAATCTATGGACAAGAAAATTTAGGTTTCTATCGAAAAGAGATGGACCACCCGAGCTACAACTGTTGTAGGTGTAGTTACACCCACTGAGGTTGCAGTTGGTCTAAAATTGATTTAAATAAATGTAATTTGAATAGCAAAGGGTTTGATGCCATATTTATGGCTATGTCCCCCAAAGAGTTTAGGAGTGTGTTTATGTGTGAGATTGATAAAAAGGTTTGTGATATCTTAGAGACCCCACATGAGGGAATTGAGATTGTTAAGAGCTCTAAACTGCAGATGTTGACCACTAGGTTTGAAGAAATTAGAATGGAGGATGATAAATCATTTGATGATTTATATACGAATTTGAATAACATAGTTAACTCTAACTTTAACTTAGGTGAGAATTTTTTTGAAATTAAGATTGTTTGAAAAGTTCTTAAATTTTACCCGAGAGGTTTAGACCTAAGATCATGACTATTGTAGAGAGCAAAGACTTAGATGCAGTTAAATAGAGGAACTTGTAATTTTTCCAAACACATGAACTCAGCAATTCTCAACATAAGAAGAACAATTCTATAGTCCTGAAACTTTTGGTAAGAAAAATATGACTCTACTGTTATTGAGATCCTTAATGATTAGGAGATAGCTTATTTCGTAAAGTAATTTTGAAAAATCTCTATGAATAAGAGAAAACCTTAAGAAAGATATAGAGGTTCAGCTAGTAAGTTCAGAAAAGACGATTGTAAGAAGCCCAATACTAGGATGTTTAGAAACTAATTCTTGTTTGTTATATGTCATTAGTGTCAAGGATTTGGCCATTTTAGGAATGAATGCCCTAATGATAAAAAACCATGAGTAAAGTTATGGACGCTACTCTCACTAACGATGAGTCTCACTCGGACAATCAAAGTGAGAAGTCCAATTCTAAGGCTTATAACTATATAACTTTTCCTTATCTGATAATGAGAGTGAGAAGGTTGAGGATGTAGAATGGAGTGAACGCTCTAAGGAAGATTCTGAAGATATTCATGAGGCTTATGAACAACTATTCCATGAGAGTCTCAACATGAAAAAGATCAACGGAGCAGTCTTTAAGAAGGTTAATGAACTTGAGTTAGAGAGAGAAAGACTTACATGTCTTGACTTTCAGGAGTCTACCAAATGCCTTACTAAGTTAAATGTTGTGAATAAATCCTTAGAGACTAAGGTTAAGACCTTTATGAGTGATATTGTAAAGTCCATTAGAAGCCTAAGTGAGTTATATGTTGTGAATGAATCCTTGGAGACTAAGGCTAAGACCTTTATGAGTGACTTTGAGAAATTCAATACTCCACTCCATTCTTTCTTAAGTGGATCATAAAAACTTGACAATCTTTTAGGGTTGAATAAGTCTGCTGAGAATATGGGATATCTAGGATATAACAAACTTATCATAATACTGCTAGTACTTCCAAGGCTACTTTTGTTCCTGCCACCAACCAGTCTAGGTATGTTGCAAATCCTGAACCTAAGAACAAAGATATCTTAGGACAAAGGCCTACTAAACATCATAAGACCAACAACCCATAAATCAAAATCAGCAACCACGTAGATTTGGGCCTAGGTTTATCCCTACGTGTCACAATTGTGGTGAGCTAGGACACACAATGCCTAGGCATCACAAACTTTTGAATAGGAATATAAGTCAGAATATATCTAGCCGGGTTGACTTCTTTACTAATTAGGTTAGTCAGTTGATCGAGATGTTGACACAGTTGATTAAGATTAATTCTACTTCTAGGAAAGTCTAGGTTAAGAATAGTGATTCGAGAGATTATGAATTTGATCATGATGCTCTTGAAGGCAAGAGCTTTTGTGTACCTTAATGAGTAGGTTATCTTGATGCATGCACGTGGAAGTTCATTGTGTTCATTCATTATTACATACATTACATTCTTTGTATTTTCTTTTTGGTTTTTCTTAAAAAAAAAGGTTGAAAAAAATAAATAGGGAAGAACTTTTTTAAACAACATCACAATTTACTCCATATAAACTTCAACTGAGTGTGTGAGAAAGTTGACAGTTCATTGATTATACTTGTGCATGCTATCAATTGCATTTTTGAGTTATCATGTTGACTAATGAGATGATTACTTGATACTTTTTCGGTTGTGATAGAAAGGGGGAGAGAGAGTATTTTGTTGAGAAGAGACATTACATTGGTATTTCATATCATTTTGGATGTGCGTTGATATTGACGCTCCACATATTTGCTTACCTATTTTAAGTTTGTTTTGTGATATTAATACTGTTGTTGGTGTTTTGATTAATATTGATATTACATCTTAGTCTAGTTAGCATGATTATGATATTATGTCTCAATTTCTATATTTCTTAACTATTTTACATGCTTTTACACTTGATATTTAAGTTTTTGATTCTAGGAAACATGTTTAACAAGGAAAGCACATTATAGTCGTGTTAGTGTGGCTATGGTTATTTAGTTTATGTTTTATTTTGACTTATAATACTTACTTTTGTCATAGAATGTCAAAGGGGGGTTTTTTTAGATTTTATTGTAATTGACTTTTTTTAGACAAAACTAAAGTTATAAAAGAATTATAGAAGTCAAAGTGTTATTTGTGAGGTTGTATAAGTCAATTGAAGAGCCTTTGTATTCGAGTGTGGAACAAGGAGAAAAAGTAGTTGAAATAACGTTAGCTGGCTGTCCCTTCAACGCTTGAGCGTTACCTTGGAGAAATCACCAGAAGAATCACTGTACGCCTGGCTCTAGCTCATGAATACTTCGCTAAGACAATGGAAGGTGACGTATGTATAGCTGACGAGAGTGAAGGGCGGTCCTTAGCGCTCAAGTGGTGGTGTTATCCAGAGAAATTCTATTTCTTGATTTGAACAACTTTTTCAGTCTAAACAATCCCAAACACTTCTTAATATATATACCCAAGTTATATTCCGTCCTGATCATAGTTGATCATTATATTATTCCTCGAAAATATCTTTTGAAGATCTTGCATCAATTCTATACCTTGAGATCTTTCAACCACATAATGGAAAATGTAAATCCAAATTCTCAAAACACTAACTCACCTACTTTCATATAATCTGTCAAAGTTCCGACGATCTTGGAAGAAATCAAAGTTCCAGTAGGACAAGAACAAGAAATCCTTGGTGATACACAGAAGATAGATGATTCTAGAAGGTTGGGAGCTGCTGCAGGAGCATGTAGTATAGGAGGGCCTAGGTGATTATAGGAAGAAGGCCAGAGAGTAATAGAAGTTAGTTGAATCTGGACCGTATTGTAAGTCAATTTGTCTTTAGTAGATTTTATTAGCATGGGCCAGGAGTTTTTTATTCTTTGCGATAGGTTTTTCTCCTTGATCAATTATTGGTGTTATTTACTTTATGCAAATTATAAATTGTAACAATTTAACATATGATAGATTTGCATGTAAATTCTTCTAAATTAATTATTATTTGTAACTTCTTGTTTATAATAATTGGTAAATTTAAATTTCGCATTAATCACCTATTCATCGCCTCTAAGTATTAGTTGGGTCGAACTTCAGTATTTCAATTTAAGAAAGCTAGACATTATTGAGATTACTGTAAATAGGTGGAACCATCCAAAATAGTTGGTATGGACAAAAGACGTATAATTTTCTCATAGGATCGAAGAAGAAAAAGAACAAAATTCTGAAATCTATAATAAATAATTGTGCTCATTATCGAACTATACTTAAAAACGAGACAACAGAGGTCAAAAAAATCTGTGGAACCAGTCTGAAGGATGAATTGACCAGACTATTCTTATTAATAAAATTAATTCCAGCTAGAGGAATATCGTTGTGGCACTGATTGATGCGGATAAGGTGGTGCCTAGTCGACACGTGGACAAAACGTCAAATCTTGTCGTCACATGTCAACTACCTCCATGACATGTGTTCCAAAGTTGTTTGCATGTGTATACACAAGTCCTTCTAGTCAACCAATATGTGTTACTAAGTGTGCACGTGCCGTCCGAGTCAAGGCCACCTGCGAGACACCTGGTGAGGTGTGCATATATGAGGTAGACACGTGATTGATGACTAGGATAAATTGTGGTTCTGACGTGCAAGACATGTGGCAGTGCGTAGGACAACACATGTCCATTGAATAAGACTTAACATGGCATTGACGGACAACAGGTGGCAGTGACTAGAAAGAACCATGCTGCTGACTAGGACAACATATAGCAGTGACTGTTGGAAAAATAATTAGTTGCAGCAGTGATCAGAACAATATAATGCAGAAATATAAAACTTATCGATCGAGTCTCGTGACAGCACGATGTCCTAAAGTGAAATTGCCCGTCAATAATTGCTGTGACCTCCGTGGACAATCACTCCCAGGATACAACGATCGTAAACCACTTATGCAGCAATCACGAATGGTTTTTCTAGAACTCTCAATTGTACTCCAGAATAGGTATAAAAACCCGAATATAAGAAGTTCACAATATGAAAAGAGTGATTGATTCTATTTTCTTTTTTGTGTGTCTTTTCCCAAAGCAAGATATGGGTTTATATAGGCAAGATGGTAGTAACAGTCTTCACCATGTTAATGCAGAATTTTAATGACTGAGTAGTGGGTGTTTAATGGCAGTTAGTGGGTTGTTACAAAAACAAACAGTCATAAAATACTGGCTAGTTTTACCCATTAAATAATAAAGAAAAAAAAATATATTTATTTTAGTCAAGGAAGCCCAAGAGTGATTCGAACCCCTGACGTCCCACACAAATGTCACATTTCCCACCACTTTGGCACTTTATCTAATTTGATTATTTCTTTCACATTTTATATTTATACCATAAATATATAACAGTGACTAGGAGGAAAAGTGGCATGACTTGGAAGACACGTGGCAGCTGACTTGGACAAAATGTGTTGCTAACTAGAACGGGATCATGGTGACTCGGATAACAGGTGGTGATGACTAGTTTGAATGGCACTATTTATCAATTATGCTCCTTGGATAGGATTGCTGACAGGGAGGGGGTGACAGGGCCTACACGGCAGGGCAGGATTGGGTGTTGTACTTGTTTATTATTATTATTTTTTAAAACTATCAAATCACGTATTACACTTGTCCCCTCTGTCATTGAGTTTGTCATTGAGCTTGTCATTGTAGCAAGATTGCTCACTAAAATGAAAAGTGCTGCTAACTAGGCCGAATGGTGGTGGTGACTAGGTCGACAGGTGTTCGCTGTGAGGGCGCACAGTGGCAATCAGGAGCTGGGAGGACGCATGAAGGGGTGATGGTTCATATGGGGGCAAGGGGAGAAGTGTATACGTCTATTTTCTTCGTACAGAAAATTGAGTTGGCACGTGCAGGTGTGTTTGGTGCTAAATCTAGTTTTTCTGGTGCCATTGGACTCGATGCTTTACATGGAGTGGATATTTGGCCTTTGAACAATGGAAAAAACTACTGAGAAAGGCGAGACAAAGTTCTTAGTAGTTTTATTTAAAAAAAAACTAAGTATATTTAAATGTATATTTTAATTTTGCAACTGAACACATGTATCAAACCTTAACAAAATAGCAATGGTAAATGTATAATTTAGCTAACCTCTTTCTGTCAGCTTTTCCACAGGTAGGTGTTTCTGCATTGCAGCATGACAAGGATGAGAATCTGCAGCATTTTCTTGAAAATCTTCGACTTCATCTTCAGGAGGCATATGGTTATCTTCTGTCAAATCATCTTTCTTTGCACTTTCAGGAACTGTGTGGTTATCTGCTTCATTTGCGGCTCTTTCTTCTCCTGAAAGTAATATACAGTAATTATGCATGATTTACAGAATTTCAACAGGAACATAAAATTATAGGTGAAAACACATAAGTTAGAATATATGTGATTACCATACCTACTATTCCTGTTGCGTTTTGATTCCCCATCTCATTTTTGCATGTTCAACTGTTCAATTGCTGAAATTGAAATAGTTTAGTGTTGAGAACAATAGGAATATATGAACAATAGAAATTGATTAGAAAGAAATTACATTCCGTTATGATGGTTATAATCATATTCGCATGTCAATAGTGAGGCTGCCAGAGTGTTAATACTCGATTAGTCTGGCCACCATGTTTGCTTAAAGCATAAGAATTTTTATACACCCTTTAACACCTAAGGTCCTCAAATATGGACTACAAAAAGCATAACGTGTATGTTGAACAATCTCGTTCAAATTTCGGGGATGGGATTTATTTAAATTTTGTTTTCAACATGTTACTTCTTACGCAGGTTGTATCCGTTATTTTATCAATTGCTTTATGGTGCACAATTTTCACAAATGAGTGATCCTGAAAGTTGAAAAATATAAGACTTTTTGTTTCTATTGTGGATTAAATCTTAATCCTTAATACGACAGCAATGATAATCCCGCGAAGTAAACCCAAACATGTAGTAGTTCCCAACGTTCACATACTGCAGATTTTTTCAATGTAACGGAGAAGATTAAAAGATTTTACATCACCTCTCTGTCATATTTACACGGAAATAGTATCCCTTCGAGAATTTTCTAATATTAGGGTAACCTTATACATGTATAAACTACTTAGTAGATCCCTAAATATATAAAATATACATACGAGGCTCTTCTATTAAACAATTTGCACCGACCCCATATTAAACTAATCCATCTTAAAGCATTCTTTCGAATACGCTTTCTCCCTAACATTAATATTCTGCAATGATGAATACCAATTAAACAAACAAAAGATAACTTGAGGGTATGTTTATAAGAAAATGTTGTGATGGCCCCTTGCAACTTTTTTTTAAAAAAAATTATTGTACTTTGCTTAAGAATGTTTCATGAAAATATTCTCATTCTTTTCTTACGGGACAACCACATCCAAGGAGTTGAGCCAGCAAAACTTAATGATATTACACTAAGTACAGGAAGCTTTTTGCAGCTTGCTGCTGTGTTTTATAGGAACATATCTATATGTACCTAAAATTTGTTAGATATTGTTTCTATGTAGCACAATATCTTTAGTTTCTAAAATAATGTCAGTATCAGTTTTAACTTTATTAAAATTCTAGGTGGATCGCTTCCCACGAGACATTGCTTAGGACCAATGGGTCACTCGACCCTCGTTTGTTGCCTAGCTTTTTTGATAGCTCTCCAGTTGGGTTGGGAGATCTGCTTATTTTGTTCAGTCTCCATGATGTCACGCCCCCCATTGCACTTTTATAGTAAATCTATTTCTTGGTGGAGTCCAATCCTTCAAGGCCATTCATCACAATATCCAATCGATATAAAACGAATGTTCACACATCTCCAATAATCTGCTTTGAACAAAATACATCATGAGCGTTGAACTCTTTCGTTCATCTCCTTTGAACTAGGAAAACCCGAGAATCTGTCGAGGTTACCATAATCTTCATCATGCCAGCCTTGCATTACCATGGAGGCTCAACCAGCTTGAGAGTTCAATTGGACCTCCACCATCGTACAGATCTTCAGCTCAAGTCCGAAATTCAGTTTGTGCATCTACATTGGCTATAGCCAAGCTTGGAACATGAATGTGATACCATTACTGAGATTTGGGTTCCATCTTATTAGGTGGACTAATCCAATATTGTTATAAACTCAGAACTATCTTCATTTCGATTTTTGTCCGTACATGTCAAACAAAAAGCATTAGACACACTTTCTTGATGTTTGCATTATCATCGATCACTCTAAACGTTAAAATTTCCATTTTCTTTCTTTGGACATGTCTTCTCCAGCTTTTGGACACCAAAAAACATATATCTATATCTATATATATATATATATATATATATATATA